CTGTGCAAGACACGGTCACACACACATATATATAATGTGTTATGTAAGTATTATATGTCATAATAATTATAATAATTCATGCATTTCAAAGACAAAGAACCCCCGTATATCCTCTAAGGGACGTGTTGGGGCAAGTGCTTTTCGTAGCAAGTAGCAGCAGCGCACCGTGTGGGTGACCAGCACCACGCCCGGACGTCTTTGTCTCTCTCCTGGCAGCAGCTACTCAGTCGAGGCTGAGTCCATGGAGGTTTAAGCCCAGGGACCGGTTCAGAGAATCGTCTGAGTGCGTCGCACAGTGCGCTCACCACTGCGCCACCACTCCCCATTTACACACACACAGATACAGACACACACAGATACACACACAGATACACACACAGATACAGACACACACAGATACACACAGATACAGATACACACACAGATACACACACAGATACACACACAGATACATACACACAGATACAGACACACACACAGATACACACACAGATACAGACACACACAGATACACACACATACACACACAGATACAGATACAAACACACACAGATACACACAGATACAGACACACACACACAGATACAGACACACACACATACACACACAGATACAGACACACACAGATACACACATACACACACACACAGATACAGACACACACAGATACACATAGATACAGTCACAGATACACACAGATACAGACACACACACACAGATACAGACACACACACATACACACACAGATACAGACACACACAGATACACACATACACACACACACAGATACAGACACACACAGATACACATAGATACAGTCACAGATACACACAGATACAGACACACACACACAGATACAGACACACACATATACAGACACACACACAGATACAGACACACACAGATACAGACACACATACACAGATACAGACACACACATATACACACAGATACGCACAGATACAGACATACATATATACACAAGGATACGCACAAGGATACACACACAGATAAACACAGATACACAGAAATACACACACAGATACACACACACACACACACACAGATACACATACACACACAGATACACACAGATACACATACACACAGATACACATACACACAAATACACACACAGATACACATACACACACAGATACACATACACACACAGATACACATACACACACAGATTAACACAGATACACATACACATAGATACACATACACACACAAGGATACACACACAGAGTATACACACACACAGATACACACATACACACACGCATACACACAGATACACACACACATATACACACAAGGATACACGCACAGATACAAATACAAAGAACTCCCGTATACCCTTAACAGAGTGTTGGAGCAAGTGCTGTTAGTGAGGGGGAGGGTGGCCACCACCACGCCTGGCCGCCTTCATCTCCCTCGGGGCGATGTTTACACACCGCACCAACTACTCATTTGAGGCTGAGTCGACCTATTTAATCCAGCGCAGCACAGATTTAAGCGAGCACAGCACACGAACCGCTGCGCCACCGCTCCCCACATATGTGCGCAACTTATTTACGCAAAATATTTACGCAAAATATTTACGCAACTTATTTACGCAACTTATTTACGCAAAATATTTACGCAAAATATTTACGCAACTTATTTACGCAACTTATTTACGCAACGTATTTACGCAAAATATTTACGCAACTTATTTACGCAACATAGACGCAAAATATTTACGTAGCATATTTACGCAACTTATTTACGCAAAATATTTACGCAAAATATTTACAAATCATATTTACGCAACTCATTTACGCAACTTATTTACGCAAAATATTTACAAATCATATTTACGCAACTTATTTACGCAACTTATTTACGCAACTTATTTACGCAAAATATTTACGCAAAATATTTACAAAGCATATTTACGCAAAATATTTACAAAGCATATTTACGCAAAATATTTACAAAGCATATTTACGCAACGTATTTACGCAACTTATTTACGCAACGTATTTACGTAACATATATTTCAATATAAATTCAAACGACACGCGCACACGCACACACCGTGCACACGCTACCGAGTTGGAGCAAAGCATCCAGAGCTCAGCTGAGTCTGCCTGTGCGCCCGACGTGAATTCGCACGAATCATTGCGCTACAATCATGTATGAGTATATCCCCACGTGTATTGATCCATGTACATGCACACACGTGCACAACATACGTGGCTACTGCTCTCCGCGCATAACTCACGATACACGCACACACACAATAATAAAAATAAAACATAATCAAATAATTCTCACGACGTTTCGGCCACAACGCTGTCGCCTCGACAGATCTGTTCTTCACCTGAGGACGGCTGCTTGCGTTGTGGCCGAAACGTCGTGAGAATTATTTTATTGTTTTATTTTTATTATTTTATTACTTCCCTTCTACGTGATGACTTTACCGAAAGAACCAAGAAGATTGTAGACCTTGCGGCGCTTATAAATCTGGACGTTCATCCGACAAAGTCCCATCACAAGGGAGAAACGCAAACGAATATGATTAATAAAACATATTGTGTGTTGCCCGTATTGATAACGACTGTGCGCCGTACGGACCTGAAAACTCAATTTCCCTGGACAACAATACAGGAAAAGCCCGTGGGTTGACAGGTTTGTATATTATGTATATATACCAAGGCCGTAATCATAATATATGTTGAGGGGGACACAATCCCCCCAATATTCAAATATGCTCGAAATGCCCCCCCCCCCAAGATAGTGCTATAAACAGTATTTTTTATAAGTAATAATTGCTGTGCTTTGTAAATAAAAACAACAATTTGCTCAACCCTGGCCACAATATCTGGACTTGTCTTCAACATAACAATGCGTAGATGTATGTTTATATGACTGTGGTTATGGTTGTACTTTAATAATCCCTAATCTCTGCCATTACATACAATGAAACAAGAAAAGGTAAAACAAGAAAAAACAGAGCAGTGTAATACAATACACTATTAGACATACCCTTTGGTTTTTTAGGTAAAGTCACGTAGGTAAAACAATCAATAAAATAAAATAAATGAAAACAACAAAATGTTAGTTGTTTTAGTTTTAATTTAGTTATTTTCTTATATTTTATGGATTTTTTACCTACGTGACTTTACCGAAAAAACCAAAGAGTATGAATCCTTGCAGTCACGAAAGCTTCAAATCTAGAACTATTAGACATTATTGTAAAAATAAATGAAAAGTCCATCCGATGTGTTAGTGAATTTTTTTTTCTTTTAGGCAGGAAATGAGTTTTCAAATTTCAATTTTTCTTTTCTGTAGTCCCCCTTAATGTTGACTCCACGGCTACAGTCTTGCTACACACACGCGAAATGTTTGAGTATCACGCAACAGATAAATATTCCCCGTGTTGCCTTCACACGCGCTGTAGGGGCAAGAGTCGGCACGGCGCTTCTGTGTTGATTGGGGAGCGGTGGCGCAGCGGTTAGCTCACCGCTGCCCTACGAACCCGGCGACCCGAGTTCGATTCCCGCTCACGGCCACCAGCACCAGTGACGATTATCCGAACCGTTCCTGGGCCTTGACCTAGATCGACTCAGCCCCAAATGAGTACCTGGTGCGGTGTGCAGTAAACATCGCCACTGGGGAGACAAAGGCGGCCGAGCGTGGTGCTGGCCACCCACCCCCTCGTGTGCCGTTCTCGGCCTTCATAGGTGCTCGCTAACAGCACTTGCCACAACATTCCGTGTAAAGGCTACACGGGGGATCTTTGTCTTTGTTACGCATGTATGTAGCTATATATATACATACATCTTGTACATGTGTTGTTAACAAAAATACAAAGATCCCCCGTGTAGCCTCAACAGACTGTAGGGGCAAGTGCTGTTAGCGAGCACCTATAAAGGCCGGCACGGCACACGAGGGGGTGGGTGGCCAGCACCACGCCCGGCCGCCTTTGTCTCCCCCAGTGGCGATGTTTACTGCACACCGCACCAGGTACTCATTTGGGGCTGAGTCGATCTAGGTCAAGGCCCAGGAACGGTTCGGATAATCGTCACTGGTGCTGGTGGCCGTGAGCGGGAATCGAACTCGGGTCGCCGGGTTCATAGCGCAGCGGTGGCGCGCTAACCGCTGCGCCACCGCTCCCCAATCAATACAACGCAGAAATGCCGTGCAGTGAGTGAGACGCACACACAGAGAGACAGGGAGAGAGACAGAGAAACAGTGAGTGAGACACACACACAGAGAGACAGGGAGAGAGACAGAGAAACACACACACAGAGACAGGGAGAGAGACAGAGAAACAGTGAGTGAGACACACACACACAGAGACAGGGAGAGAGACAGAGAAACACACACAGAGAGACAGGGAGAGAGACAGAGAAACAGTGAGTGAGACACACACACACAGAGACAGGGAGAGAGACAGAGAGAGGCAGGAAGACACACACACAGAGAGACAGGGAGAGAGACAGAGAAACCGTGAGTGAGACACACACACACAGAGACAGGGAGAGAGACAGAGAAACAGTGAGTGAGACACACACACACAGACAGGGAGAGAGACAGAGAAACAGTGAGTGAGACACACACACACAGAGACAGGGAGAGAGACAGAGAAACAGTGAGTGAGACACACACACACAGAGACAGGGAGAGAAACAGATAAACAGTGAGTGACACACACACACACAGAGACAGGGAGAGAGACAGAGAAACAGTGAGTGAGACACACACACAGAGATAGGGAGAGAGACAGAGAAACAGTGAGTGAGACACACACACAGAGAGACAGGGAGAGAGACAGAGAAACAGTGAGTGAGACACACACACAGAGGCAGGGAGAGAGACAGAGAGAGACAGCGACATAGAGACAGGGAGACAGACAGAGAGAGAGGGAGACAGGGAGACAGACAGATACAGACATACAGGGAGAGAGACAGAGAGAGACAGACAGAGAGACATAGAGACAGAGAGAC